TAATGTCACTTTCAAGTGTCCAGATTCGTATGCATTGGTCATGACTGGTGGGACACATTGGTCGAATGTTTTCTTCTTTAGATAAAGTGATATTCTAGATTTGAATATGATTGTGTTTCTTCTATAAGTACTCCATGCTAACTTAATTCTTCTATTGATTTCTTATAGTAGTGATCCCGAGCTGTGTATTATTTGTTCCAAAAATATATTCTTCTATTATTTCCAGTGTCGTTAGGTTACTGGTAGTAGGTTTATTGATAGTAGTATGGTAGTATTAGTTTTTCTTCCTCATGTTTATTTTCTTCATATTGATTCTTCATATATGTATGCTTATTATTATTTCGTGTTTGTCTGTTATTCTGACGTTGTTGTATGTTAACGCGATTAACTGCTTCTTTCCGATAATGAGGGATTTCTTAGCGTTCTTATAGCTATTTCTGTTTTCGACTGCAATTTGTGTTTGTAGGCACAAGTTTTTCATTGTGGTTTTTGATATCTTCTGCAATCTTCTTTCTTATTGTCTTACATAATTCTGTGCATTATGTTGCTCTCTATTTTGATTTCTCTTCTTTCTTTCGTCCCATCAGTCAGTTTATTAAATATATTACGCAGCTGTGGGCCCTCTATTTCTTTTGCACAGTTTAGTATAGTGTAAAGAAAATATGAATCTAACTTAACCGGTGTTAATAATACCGGGTTCTTAATACCGGTGTTTTTAAAAGCGGTTCACCCATATAATAATAAAAGATTAAATATTTTTTCAAATAAAAAAACGAAATTTGTTATGTAGTGGAGTGCCCAGAGACTTTTACCTCGGCATTCAATTACTGTGAATCTATTAATGTGAAACCTTCTGTATTGTGTTTTACAGATAGAATACTAAAATGTTTACCCTTTTTTTTTCGCTGCTTTTAATTTTTTATTTTAGTAATTTTAGTAAATTCTTAATTATTTCCTTCTTAATATTTTGATTTGTTTAATTCTTTTTCTAAGTAAATTTATTGAAATGAATAAATCTAATGCATAAGCTATACCATCTGCTTATATTCTAATCATTGAAATTTTGATTGAAATCGAATTATACAGGGTGGCGCGTCATATACGACACGGTTTTTGCAAAGAGAACAAAAGTTTGTATTGAAGTGAAATTTTGTGAGCTTATGTAAGTCAATTTAATGCATTTTCTAAAATTATGTAGAGTTCTACAGGGTATCCTCAAAAAAAGTTACACATCAAAGTTATGTTTTTTGTAATGGAACACCATATATTAATTGATTATTGGATTCTAGTAAAAAAATAAAGGTTTGTTTTATTAGAAAAGTATATGACTAAAATGTATAGTTTTCGAAATACGTTCACAGGTACGAAAAATAGGCACCTTAAAATTTTAAGGTGCCCCCAAAGGTTAATATATTTTGTTTTAATGGACCGATTTTGATGATTGTTTAAGCATTGTGTAGCTAAATTATTTTACTTTTAAGTATCTTTTTCTAAATTAAAAACGAAACTTCTCATCTGTTAATTATACGAGGGAAAACAAAATGTTGATATTTTGGTGAAAGTTTGAAACACCCTGTGGAATATGTTAAAACAGCAAGAAATTTAAAAATCATTTTATCATCTAGATACATCCTTTCTCGATGGTTTGTTTTTTGGTTCATCTCATTAGCTTTCTTTTTGTTGGAATTATTCGCTTTTGAACAAGACACTAACATTTTTTCGTAATTTTTACATTAAGACCATGCCTTTGCTTTTGGGCCTAGTCATCACATCTAGTAAGTTCTGGTCCCGAAGCAGGCCTTCTTGACATAAGATTTGCTTCATTTAATCTTCTTCTTATAGTCCGTTAGTTAATATGTACGTTCCTTAAGTGCAATTTATTATCAATTTGAAAAGCTGGCAAACGGCGATTTCTTAGCGATAAACTTACAATAAGTCGATCGTCTCGATTAGAAGTTATCATACGAAGGTTTCTGGACGACTAGATTGACGTCCTCATGGACTTGGTCATAATTCAAAAACCAGTTAATATACTCTATGGTATTAAGACAATTTTGAAACCGGAATTTTATAGCAAATTCACTGAACGAAATAAATATAGATATGTATTTGACTCACCCTGTATATCTATAAAAATATTTTTGAAATGCGAACTACCATTAAACACATATTTTGTAAAAAGCTTGAAGTGAAAATCTCAAATAATAGGAATCCTGATACAGAGTTTTTCCAGAATGTGGAGCCATCTTGTATGTATGCATTTGTATACGGGGTGGCCCATCGAAAACGTTCCGCAAGGCATAACGGCCAGGGTATTCTTTTTTTCAAAAAATCCAAAAACACGTCAATTTTGTTTGTGAGAGGGACAACTTTTGGTCCAAAAATGATTGAAAAATCTTCAACCCTCTAAGCGGGGGTGTCATCCCCCAACTTTTTTCAAATGGAAAGGGTTTTTTTTCCCCGCCTCATTTTTGAAAATCGGTCAAGTCATTGAGAAAATATGAAGGATTGAAATTTGAAAAGTTTATTTAAACATTTTTCAGAGTAAATGATAAGGATAAATTCCTTCGACCAATTTGAGGTTTTTTCTTATTATTTCTAGATGTTTACGCATTTTTTCACTTGCCACAAGGTTGAACGATTAGGTGCGGTAGTTGCTAGATAGGTGTTCTGTGACTTGTGCGTTGAAGTTCTTTTCAATATCGTTAAACTGACCCACAATAGAATTTCCAAAAATACCAGCTCACACGTCCAATTTCTGAGGGTTTTGTGTGTGCACCTCGTGAAAAACCCTGGGGTTGTCCTCAGCCCAGTACCGACAGTTGTGCCGATTAACTACACCGTTCAAAAAGAAAGTACAGTACGTCTGTCCGTTCTGTACCTACGGGGTATCCGTGAGAGGGGGAACGATATTCTCTCGATGTTTTTCGTAAAAAATTAGACGTTGCGTCCCATCAATAAAAATTCGACAAATTTGCAAGTAGCCAATAAAATGAGTGGGCGGAGCGATTTGTGGTGACGTACTCGTCAAGTAGACGTATAAAATACATTGCTGTTTATTTAAATGTTTTTTGTCCGCATTCCTTTCGTAGACACAGATCCAGCAGACGTACTGTACACTCATCCGAAAAACACACATTAAATAGGAAATTATTATCATTCGCCGTTCACTCATAATTTCACAAAATTGCAGGCGACGATCAAAATCGTCTTCGTTGAATTCTTGTACCAACTGAATTTTGTAAGGGTGGAACTTGTGTTTTTTTAATATCCCACTTGAGAGACACAATATACACTTGTAAGATTCACGCCGGTCTCATTGGCTAAGTTTCTTGTACTCAGCGTACTATCCATGGCAACTTGGCCCAATACGAATACCTCCATAGCTTCATTTACTACAGGATTTTCCCTCTGCCTCTTTTTATTCATAACGGAACCAATTTCGCGAAATTTTGCTGCTATCTCGCGAATAATTAATATAAAATAATTAATGATTTTGCCATAATGGTGTTTGTTAGGATGGCGTTCATTGAATATCTGCACAACCCGATTGCCACATTCAATATTTTTAAAATAAAGTTCGATTATTTCCACATTTTCTGCAAGTGAGTACACTATAATTGTTAAAAAGTTTAACAATATTGAGAAGAACTTCAACGCACAAGTCACAGAACAGCTATCTAGCAACTACCGCACCTGACCGTTCAACCTTGTGGCAAGTGAAAAAAAAACGTAAACATCTAGAAATAATAAGAATAAACAGCAAATTGGTCGAAGAAATTTATCCTTATCATTTACTCTGATAAATGTTTAAACAAACTTTTGAAATATCAATCCTTCATATTTTCTCAATGACTCGACGGTTTTTCAAAAACGAAGCCGGAAAGTATAGAGAATAGAAAGCCCTTTTCATTGCGGTACCACTTGACCCCCCATTCCCATTTGAAAAAATCGGGGGATGACACCCCCGCTCTAGTTGAAGATTTTGCAATAATTTTTGGGGCAAAAGTTGTCCCCCTCACAAACAAAATTGACGTGTTTTTGAATTTTCTGAAAAAAAATACCCTGGCCGTTATGCCTTGAGGAACGTTTTCGATGGGCCACCCTGTATGTGTGCTTATTTAAATACTAAAGTGAAAGCAACGAATTTAAATGGGTAAACTTTGTAATATATCTTATTAACAATACAATGCAAAAAGTTTTATAAAATTCGTTCACAGTAAATTAATTCCGAGGTTTGTATCCCATAAGGGCTTAAAGCACTCCACTAATGTTAGTCGATCGAGATTGATTGACGTATTCAACTAATTTCGGTCATTTCCAGTGTCACCGGAAAGGACAACAACTTTTGATATTTCAATGGCACCTTCGGTATTTCTTTACTTTATTTGATAGAAAATTACATTTTGAATAGAATGACATATCATACGTCAACTTTTGACATTTTCTGTTAAAAGATAGCATTTTAAATTGCAATCTACAGTGCTATGGCTGCGTTAAACCATTAATTTTTAATCAAGGAGCTTTGTAAAGATAAATTTGATCATCTAATGTTTTGTGTTTTTTCCTTGTGGAGTAAAACCTTTTTAAACCTTTTTTGTTTTGTTTTGACCCTTTTGACCAATCACAAGCGATTCATGTCCGACAAAGAGATGCATGAGAATGCAATAAATTTAAAATTACGAAATTATCTAATCAATCAATATATTTAAATTGGACCAATGAAATTAATATTGTAGGTATCATACTGAACGTTCTGCAGAAGGTGGAATGTGTGTTGTTTAGTGTTAAAGGGGATAGTAAAAATGAAATTAGTAATGACAGTGGGTACCAAATAAGGAATATGTAGGAAGATCTTGGAGGTTTACGTTGGGATTCATATCAGTATCGTGTCATGTTAAAAACGTAGAGCGTCTCAAAAATTAAAAAAAAATAATAAATAAAAATTGCCCTTATGTGATAGTTATCTACCTAATAAAATATATTTAAAATATACTTACCAATTATTAAGGAATTTCACGGCTCGCTTGATGGTGTACTACTAGAAACAGAAATACAGAGATAAATTTTGATTTTTGGTTCTTACTAATACGCATTTGACAGCAATAATTATTAATTCTTTATTAAGCGAATTAAAGTGTCCAGCTATTCTTGCATAATTTTTATCTCTATTATCATTGAAAATATTTTTCTAACCGGTAAAAAAAGATTTGATTTTTATTGTTGAATTTTCAGTAAAAAGTCTTAATAAAACACTAAATTTTAAATATCATTCTTGCATGCATAAATAAACAATGGTTAGTGATGTAGATATGGGGTTTTAACTTATTTTAAATATTCACTAGTTACGGTAGAAGACGCGCGACGGTTCCCAAATTGAATTGGACTCATGAACAAATATTAAAATTACTAGCGTGTACCAGCGACTTCGTTCGCGTCGAATTAATCATTTGTAATGGTGATGATAAAGCAAAGCAAGAATTTCCATTAACATACAAACTGGATAAAATTTTCTCACATTTATGTCAGCATGAGAAAAAACAATATGGCGATATTATTATATAACTTGGTAATATTTGAGGGGTAGTTTCATCTCGTTGGAATTTGACTTTCGAAAAATCTGTTTGCCAAAAATATACTTTATACGTCAAGCAGTTTAAGCAGAACCATGGTTAAGAAATTACCCAACTTTTTGGAACACCCTGGTATGATTTTTTAAAAAATTTCAAATTATGTAGAAAAACCAAATAAATTATGCTTGTCCAAGCGTTTTCCCGAAAGACTAACCGTTTTTTAAATAAAAAATATTGTAATATTTGAGGGGCGTTTTCACACTCTTCGAATTTGAGATTCGAGAAACGCGTCCTTATCGAACCTCTAACGAAATTCGAACCTATCGAAATTCAGCTGAGCTGTTAGTTTAACCGAGCATTAAAAAAAATACAATTATAAGTTTACAATAAAAATAAAAAGTGTCACAATATTATCTACCTATCATAATATACTACTAAAAAATACAAAAAAAAAACAAAAAGGACAAAAAAAGAAACAAAAAAAGGATAACCACCTAGTTATTTATCTGTAAAAGATGCTTTTTAAATTTTGATTTAAATGTGCAAAACGATATATTGTTTGATTGACTGATAATGGGATACTGGTTAAGCAGTTTAACTGATGCATATGAGACGCAGCTCCGGGTCATGGCTTTATTAATTTTGGGTATTTGATAGTGCGTATTAAAACGAGTTTCGCGTGGATGAATATTGTCCCTACATGTTAGTTTTTCAAACAAATATGAAGGGCTCTCAGATTTAATTAATTTATGCAGGAAGCAAGCAAAATTAAGTTTTTGTCGATCAGATATATTTAGCCACTTTAGATCATGAAGTTTGTGGCTCACGTGATCACTACGTTTGAGATTGTAAATAAAACGAATGCAAGAGTTCTGAACTTTTTGCAATTTGAATTTGGTTGAAACATCCAAACAAGGTCCATATACAAAATTACAGTAATTCAAATGACTTAAGACAAGGCTTCGCATAAATTTTTTTTTAACGCAAAGCTCAGAACATCTTTGCTTTTATAGATGTTGCGGAGATTAATATAGGCTTTTTGGAGAACTTTTGATACTTGAATGCGAAATCGAAGTGTGCTGTCGAACACTACACCCAAATTTTTGTACTCGTCAACAATATGGATTCTTACACCATTTATTGACACGTTCCAACTCTGAGCTGCCCAATTCTTGGCTGGTCCAAAGTATATAATAGCTGACTTATTTGGGTTCAGTTTTAGGCCGTGATTTTGTGAATATTTAGATACGGATTCTAGACAATCATTAAGTCTCCTTGAGGCTTCCGCTGCATCAGATTGTAAAAATGAAACCTGGATTTGCGTGTCATCTGCGTATCTGTGACCATTACACTCTTTAAAACAATTCGACATATCCGCTGTGAAAATGATGAAGAAAAGAGAACCCAAAAGTGACCCCTGAGGGACCCCCCTATCAACTTCCAAAGGCATTGACTTTATGTTACTCAATATCACCAGCTGAGACCTGCCGTCCAAATAACTACGGATAAGCTGGACAGTTTTAAATTTAAATCCGAAATGGCTTAACTTGGCACAAAGCAGAGCATGGTTGAGGGTGTCAAATGCTTTGCTGTAATCTAGTAATACTAGGGCAGATGTTTCTCCCTTGTCTGCTGCCAGTAAGATGTCATCCAGCACTTTTAACAAAGCCGTGGCTGTACTGTATCCTTTACGAAAACCTGACTGCAGTTTGGGTAACAGGTTATTTCCAGTGAAATAGTCAATAATTTGTCTGTAAATAAGCTTTTCAAATACCTTAGAAAGCACTGGTAACAAGCTAATGGGACGAAGTTCCGTGATGGTTTTAGGGCTGCTAACTTTTGGTAATGGTATAACTTCCGCATACATAGTGAGTATTTACGTATACCATTTTTTACATAAAAAAATGTTATAAATATATATTTTTTACTTATTAGTTTTATACAGGTATTTGTGAAAAGTTATTTTTCTTCAAATCAGTCAAAAAAAATGTAGGTGGTGCCTTATGAAATAAAAATTTAACTTCTGCATCCTGTATTTCCGAAACTAAGCATTTTAGGACATATATTTATACGAATATTTTTGCTTATTTTTATCTACAGTATATACTGTCGATGTGTCCCGAATACAATTCGGATCACTGTGTATACTATTTTCCTAAAAAAGATAGAAACAGCACGGGGTGCATCAAGAAACAGAAAAATAGATTGCGCGCAGTTTAGTACGCTGCTAAAACCGGGTGTTATGTGTGAACACAAACGCAACGTTTGACAAAATTACAGTTTTAATAGGAAACTGCAGTAGAAAAACACCTTGCAGCATGCTACTTTTGGCCTGTGTGTGACATAAAACTTTAGAAGTTATATCACAAAAACTGCGCAGTAAAAGCAGCCATGTCATAAGGTTAATAGTTTATGCACGATTCTCACCTACAACGTCTCACCGCCACCGTCACGTCGAGCTGCCCTCCGGCTTGCCGCCAGCCACCACAGTAAATACGTATTCTTAAAAGGCCAATATTGAACAATATTACATATTCACACTACCCGTAACGGCGCCGTTCTCTCGTGGTAACATCTATATCTCATTTACTGCGTGCTTTCTGTCGAGATTGCGCAGCGCGGCGGCGGCTAGACGTGACGGTGTCATTTCAGCTTATTTTGATTTATATTACCCCAGTCAAAATAAACAAATAAAGGGGGTTAAATAACAATAATTTGCATAGAGCTGAAAATTGGTATAGGTCTTAAATACACTATTATAAATTATATCTGAAAAATCCCCACCCCTCCCACGACTGCTAAAAAAAATATTCAAGGTCAAAAGTCAAAATATATTTTTTCTTTTTTTCTCCTCAACGGTAAGCGCTATCGCAAAAGTACCTTAAACAAATGTTGTAGACCATTAAATTTTCTACAATAATGGCTCTCATACTTTTTTCTTACGAACCACCATTCCTGAGATATGGCGATTTCAAACATCGAAAATACTAATATGCACACATACTCGGCAGGTATACATCATAGGAGACTCAATTTAATAAAAATATTGTAACGGGTTTCGCCCATATAAATTGAAACACGTAATTATTTAATTGATTGCGCAGACGCATTCAAAAAGATTGACTCTTCTCCACAAGTCATCATCACAAGTGGAATTCGCTTGCTTCTTGCTATATATGGTTCTCCAAAAAAAATTGATTCTATACAGGGTTGTTCACCACATACGACACGGAGTATTGTAACTAAACGATTAGATTATTACAAATTGTAAGTTTTGGGTTCGTTGAAGGACTATTAGATCTACAATTTAAAAATATTTTTACAAGATACAGAGTGTCCCAAATAGGTAAAAAATATTATAGTTGTATTTTTTTAAATAGAACACCCTGTATATTATTCTATTTTTAGATTCTACGATTGAAATAAAGGTAAATTTGATTAAGGTTTATCACACCTAAACCTTACCGTTTTTGAAATATTTTCAATTTTATTAAATTGCAGTAAAAAATTTAAGGCTTTATTTCTCCAAGGGTATCAATGTTTTTAATACTAAATATTTACTGAAGATTATTTATTGATCAGATATTGTGTCGCATAAATAAAAATTTTACTACCTTATACAGAGTGTCCAAAAATTTATATTATATAATTACTAGCTTTAAACGGCAATAACTTGTTTAATTTAAATAGAACACCCTATATATTTTACGAGAATCAGATGCACAATGTAATTGTCTATCAAATTGTATGTACCATTATATATATGTTCCATTTTTTACCCACCTCTTCAAGTTTTCATAGAAAATGCATTTTCTTATAATTTAGACCTCATTTATCGCTATACCCATGGAATATTGACATTTTAGCTCATTTTTAAAGATATAATATAAATTTTCAAAGGGTACAGATACTAATATTGTCGATATATCTAGTAAGCGAACTAGATTTTAATTAAAAAATAATAAAACTGTTTAAATATTTTTTGTTAAAGAGGACCAATTAATATGATCCCAGTATTCAAACCACATTATTTGACTGTTTACGTTGTAGTAATAATTGCTCCAATTACTAAAAAACTGAATTTTGTGTGTGTATTAGACAGTGTGGTAAAAAGCAACACCTTATAGATTTTACTTCATTTATTGACGAATGCTTATTTATAAAAACACAGACATTCATTTTTATAACTTATTATTATATTGATTTCTGAGCCAAATCCACATTTATTTAGAATTATTTTTTAATTAAAACAATTTATAAGTATGTAATTAACTAATTTTTGGTGTTTTTGGTAGGAAATTATGATGGTATATTTAATTGGTATACTCTTTTATAAATATTTAAATAGTTTATTTTGTATGCCAATGGGCTTGCAATATTTACCACTTGTACATTTTGTACATATCATGGTGCTATAAAAAAATCTGAAATGTCAATATTCCATGGGTATAGTGATAAATGAGGCCTA